ACAAAATTACAATTTTTTCTTGCAAGTCTTTTTTTGAAAATTGTTTGTCCGAATATTTTTTGATCAGTTTGTGAAATTCGCAGTCTTATATATTTTTGCACCATTACATGTTGTGCATCAGCCTATGTCTTCATATTTCAGATAAAAAAATAATTGTTTTCGAAAAAAAGGCTATTTATGTAAGAATGCTATTCATACATTTTTTGTACTATGAAATTGTATGAGCAATATTTTTTCACAGGCTCCAAGCGTAAAAGTTCTTTTCTAGCTTTTTTTGAGCGGAGCTGAACCGGGCTGGCGGGTTGGACAAAAATTTTTAATGGTAATCATCTCTATGCTAGCTTATCTTTAATTTCTTCAATTTTGCAGTTTATTAACTAAATCAGTCACTTCCCTCTACTTACATATGGCAAAAAAAAACGTTTGAAATAAGCAACGTTTTTTTTACAATTGCTTAAATTAGTTCACTGGAATTTTTTACAACTAATTTTTTCGCTTAGTCATTGCACAGCAGCCAGGCATCCTTGTTGATAATGCTGAGCAGCCGATCAGAAATGGAATGTGAATGGGAATGAAATTTTACCTGCAAAAGTTCTCACGTATCGGAAAATAATGGATAAGAAAAAAAATTTAAACAAAAATTACAAATAACAAAAAAAATAAAAATAACAAAAACTCACGGTCCGAAATTCTGTCAAGGTTTGATGACAACTGGAAAAGCCAGATTATTTCTCGCGATTTCTGTTAGTGATTCAAAATAACATGCAGCTTTTCATATTCTTTTGTTATTTCCCTGAATCACTGTTTTCATGAGTCAAGTTCTTCAATAAAACCAATTCAAGCATAGGGATTGATTTTTTAGGTTGTACGAATAATTTTTAAGGCGTGGGTACTGCGTGCAATTCCATGTGACTCTCAGAAGACATTACATGGGAATAGGAACAAAAAATCCATTCCAACGGCAGCCCAGTTACGAAAGACTAAATGAAAGATTCAATAATTTTTAATTGTTTGTTTAGGTCCAGGTGATGTATCAGAATGCGATCACTCACATGGCTTTCACCAACAGACTCATGTCCAGGGGCTTCCACGACCTCGCTCTGGGGTCCACAGTGAGAGATCTGGTGGAGCAGGAGAAGGTGGGGTCCCTGGACATCAGGATTCCGAAGAGTCCGGTGCCTCGATTGGAACACCGCCATCCAGCAGCTACTTTCACACATAGTCAGGTACACAAGAATCACAAACACTTTTAGAAAGTATCAAATAACTGTTTCTTGAAGGTTTCAAAAGTTATTGAGAGAAAAAACTTCTACAAATGTTTTTAGAACATTTTTAGGATGAAAGGCTTAATTAATGGGACAGAATTTATCTATTTAAGATGATTTTTTTGTGTCGGTGAAAGATTTTAGCTTTAAAAAGTGTAATTTTTTCAGAATAAATTGGTGCCCTTAGAAGCCAGACCTGATGCGAAACCCTACAAGGACAAACAATACGACAAGCCATCGTCGACACAGGGGTTAGTTGACCACAAATGTGTATGACTGACACGTTGAATGCATACAAATATATACAACTTTGGCCGGTTGATTTGGAAGTACCAATGATTGGTTCAACCTGGCAGACCAGTTATATTTTTACCAGAAAAAATGAATTCCAAACTTGAAGGCCAGCTGGATCTTTCCATTCGTGATTTGAGATGCAAGAAAAATTTCGCAAAATCAGGTCTTGATTTTTAGAGTATTTTGTACATTTGTTTTCTATACACGCAGCAATCTAATATGTCATATAAAATAAAGCTAAGTTTATGGCCTCCCTGTCTCATAACAAATAATGCAAATTGTTTAAAAAAATCTGATTTGTTTCACTGGCAAAAGAACAGTGGTCGCAAAGTTCTGTGAGATCTGACCTGCAACCATTTTTTTTTAATTTTTAATGGTGTAAATAGGATTGAAATATTGATTCGGATTGTTTCTTTTTCCGAGCGATTCAAATAGCTTCAAATAAAGCTCCTTACAAATCGAACTTGGTATCATATCAAAGTCTTTTCGGTCGTGATTCCAATTCCGAAAAAAAAACATGTATTTCTTTTCTCAATATTGATAGAATTTGGATTGATTTTTTCTTTTCATAGGGGAAGCAAAATGTACTGATACCATATTTAAGCGCAACTTATTATATAAGTGTTAATTTTTTTCGTGTAGCTACTTCGAAAGAGAGACATACACTTCCGATGATAGGTAACAAAGGCGTTTGCTTGTAATCAGCTGTTCAATTTTTTTATTTGTTTTCGCTCCCCTTGTACTCGCTTCCACCTTATTTTGCACTCGAAACTGTAACTGCCATGATTTTTGCTGAGGAATCAAATTATTTTGGAAAAACAATGAAAATTGAAGAAGAATAGAGGTAGGAGAAGGATTTGGAGGGGGAACGAAGAAGGGATATGAAAGAATCTTTCTTGCGCATTCCGGCTAAAAATTTGCAATATTCGTATTTTTCCGTATTCGTATCAGGAAGTGAACAAACCAGAAACAAATAAAACATTATACAGGGAATATTGATAACATAGATATCAAAACTTATAAAAAAAGATTCTAAACATTTCACATAATTTTATAAAAAACTAGATCTTTTTCTGAAATTCTGAGAAACTCGAAATAGTAACAAAGCAATTGCACCAGTGTCCACATATCATCTGTTTAACTGAAACATGGCTTAAATTTTTTCTGATGAAATTTTTTTTCGAAATTGAGGCTACGAATCTTTTTGAAGTTGCATTAGAATTCAGCGAAGATGAGGTATTGCCATTTATGCCAACACTGGGATAGAACATTGAAAACAAAAATAACGGTTTTCGAATCTTGTCATAGCTCATGAAAAATCAAACAAACCAGAAACTAGTAGTGACCTGTATATACAATCCACCAAATTCGCTAAGCAACGATAATTTCGAAAGGCTGCAAAACAATTGGGATGCATTATTGCTTTTTATAGAGCCAAACATTGCGCCTATAGTAACTTCAACATTACTTTCCCGTTAAGTTTGGCAAAGCGAAAAACAAATTGAGGATATAACACTAAGAAAACGTGCTGCCTCCCAATAAGAATAACAGAACATAGCAGCACATTCATTGACTTATTTTTCTGTCTGTCGGACCTCTCAACTAAAAATATCAAAAGTTTACTGTCTGATCTTTTTGGTGTTCATTTTTTCTCAAAGTTTATCAAAAACATTTTTACTGAAAGTTTTACCGCTGAAACCTAGAACGAAAAAAAAACATGGAAGAAAATGGATTTTTTTCTAGCCTGAGATAACAAATGGAGGCAATTATTGAAGCCTGATGACCCAAAAGCGTATTTTGTAATTTAATCTTTAAGAAGGTCGTTTTCCTAGTTGATTAACAGGGAAGAAACAGAGAGGCCTGACATTTAATTCAAAAAAATGCAGCAGCAACGAAAAAATGGTTAGACAACAGTTTTTAAATTTAGATAACTGATGCATAAAACGAATGTAGTTCCGAAAACCGAAATATTAAATATTTAATCATTCATTAGAAAAGAAAACATATCGAAAAAAATTGATATTTGAGTCTAATTCTAGTACGAATTTTTAAAAATTACTCAAAGCAAATCAACATGTATAGAAAATGATATAATCCATCAGCAGCAAGCACTGTTTTTCTTCAAGTCAATGCAGTCATCAAAAAATCTACTACAGATTGATATAATATCAATACTGTTCTCGTCAGACAATTCAAAAATATACTAGTAGCTCCTTTAACACACTTTTTTAAACACTGAATTTTCTCAAAAACTTACTCAATCAGTTTCAAATGCAAACAATTTTCAAGGAAGGAAAATTCATTTATCTGTCAGCCTAAAGACCAATTTTGCATCTACCATTTCTGGGCAAATTTTTTGAGCGTTCAGACGAGCTCAATCATATGTGGAGAAGTTTGATAATTACGAAACAGTCAGTTTAGTTTCAGATCATTCAAAAAAGAGCACCGTTGACGCCATCATTACATTGCTACAAGATGTTTAACTTCGTTAAAGAACAATACTTTTTAGGACTCACAAAAATTTTTGAGACCGTTGATCACTGGTTCGCTAATTTCACCGAAAAAAGCAGTGTGTTTTAATTATTATGAGATTCATTTCAAAAGCAGTTTGGTTTTTCATCAACATACTCATAAAATTAAAAAAAAATGAAGTTTTGCAGTTCTATTGAGTGTTCTTTCAATTGATAGAATTTTAACAGGCCAGCAATTAAAAATTTCTCTAAAAGATTTACAGGATCATTCATCCAAACACCGAAAACCAAATTAACTGAAATTGAAAATTAGTAGTGTAATAAGAAAAATTTATCAGCGCAGGACGGATTCAGCCACCGAATTATTGGATGGGAAGAAATTTGTTCTGTTAAATGTTTTTTGTGTACAGAGTTTTGAAACTGACCGGAAAAAAAGTATTTAGCAAGAGTGCCAGTTTGATCCATTGTGATATGTTATAACTGAACCAGATATAAACTTAATTTATACAAATCAAAAGTAAGCAATGAATGGAAATAAAATAAGACTAGACCTAATGTAAGAAAAATCCTTAATTTTGTTTGAATTCGTTTTCGCTCCTGGGTCGACTGTTTGAAAGGGGTTTCTATGATCCAATTAATTAGTTTTGATATTATCTTGTTCTTTGCTTCTGAGATACTTGAAAATGGGCCGTGCTGGCTTAATGGTGTTCTCCCACACCGCGATTTAGGTTTAATTTTGTAAAGCTATATACATAACCCTGTAACTAGAGATCATGTGGAAGCAACTTAATAATTTTATTTTTATCAAGACACCAATTGATCAATTGTTTCGCCAACTCTTGCGCCAGCGGGCTTTTATGATTCGTGACATTTAATTTTTGTTGAAGCGTTGATCGCAGACGAGTGAAGAAAAGTGTGAAGGGCGAAAGCGGTGATAGTGGCAGGGGTAGCCGCAGTAGGGGTGCGAAGAGCGGTGATTCATCCAGAAGTCTGGAGCCCTTCAGGGGAGAAAAAGAGGCGGCTGCTTTGTCCCTCCAAGCCATCATACCAACATCAGTAGTCAAGGTCAGATGCGGAAAAGTGCAGTAAACTGTTTTCTATTATATTTCGTTCTAATCATGATCAAACACCAATTTCGCGCGAAAATTGGTGTCATAGCGCCAGCAATTAATTGAGTAGTAATGAGAAAGTACCACGTCTGATCTGGGAGTTTCTCGAGGGGGGATGAAAAGTTTGTCGACCTTTGTTAGACCGACAATTTTTTTTGAGCTCCCCCAAATCACTGTAAATTCCCCATTTGGACCAACTTTTTGCACCAAAGCGGTTTTTAAAAAAATCAAACCAAAAAACGTGGCTCAAGCACTTTATGGAAAGTTTTGAACAAAAAATACGTTTTTCAGGGCGTCCTAAAAATTGGATGTCCTAAAATGGTACCAAAGGGGAACCTTTCTGGTCCCTGCCCGCCTAAATACGCCCCTGCATATACCTGTCCGGCTGGCGAAAACTAAATTTTCTTTACTACTGCGGCTCAAAAAACTCTTAATAACTGCTATGTAAGATTTATTAGTTACTATGATGGACTAAGAGGATGAAAGAGCTCCTGTTTTCCGGATCGCAACTTTCCATGTTGAGTATGAACGCGACCATTTTTTAGAGCAATTGGTCCTAGAGAAAAGACCAAAAAGAGGCTAATATAGTTTGACCGCCATCATCTCCCCGGGTCGAGGTCCCAGACTCATGTCCAGACTTTCGCGATAAAATTTTGGCATTTCCAGACTTTCCAGACCAAAATTAGGCATTTCCAGACTTTGGTGACCAAAACCTGGCATTACCAGACTTTTGCGACCATGATGATCTGTCGCGACTATCGCGACCGAAGCGGAGGTGGCGCGACCAAAACATCGCTACTCACATTTGATATGTCCAGACTCTCGCGACCAAGAGTTGCCATTTCCAGAATTTCGCGACCGAAAAACTAAGGCGCGACTTTCGCGATCGAGGCGGATACGGTGCGGCCCTGCGGCTCAAGAAACGGCGTGACCGGCGCGACCAAACTTAGCCATTCCCAGACATTCCGGACCTAGATGGAGACGACGCGACTTTTCAGACCAACATGGAGATGGCGGGACTTAAAAAAAAGTTTTTCAGGGCTTTCTCGACCGAGGTGGAGACGGCGCGACTTTCGCGACCATGGGGGATACGGCGCGACTCAAAAGGCAACGGCTCTCTAGACTTTCCAGACCGAGGCGGAGACGGCGCGACCAATAATCATTTTATAGCGACCGTAGTGGAAGCGGCGCGACTTTCGCGTTCAGAGTGGAGACGGCGCGACTTTCCAGACCAAGGCGGATACGGCGCGTTTTTCCAGACCGAGGCGGAGACGGCGCGACTAAGAAACAATTCTTTGCGACCGTGGTGGATGCGGCGCGACTTTAGCAATCAGAGTCGAGTTAGCCCAGACCACGGTGCATACGGCGCAACTTTCCAGAACAAGGCGGAGACGGCGCGTTTTTCCAGACCGAGGCGGAGAACATTTACATGAACCAAAATTTACCAAGCTTTTGGCTATTTTGTCTAAGTAATTGTTTTCCTGTTTTGATTCTAAGTATTATACTATCTATATTTATGGACCTAAACCTTATTTTTTTCTGCTGTCCGACCCATTTATAGCCCTTATTTATAACCCTTTTTAAATAAGGGCTATAGCATAGTGTAAGGCGTTTACTTTGAAATAGTCAGATCGTGTATTCGAGCATATGCCATGGCAATGATAGTGTTTGAGGATGCGCTCTCACTTGACCTCTAGCTGCAGGTCTACCACAGTTTGACCAAATTTGGCTGCAATATTACGGCCTTGAGTCGCAAAAAAGAGCTTCGCACAACAAAAAAACACAGTCTGGAAGGTGGGGAGATAATACAAATGGACTATCCTCGACAGGACTCTTAAGGCCTACTGGTAGATCCTCAGCGATTCGCAGGAACTATATTATTATAATTATTATTTAGTGCTATGAGTCCAAATTTGGAGATTACATGAATCGGTCTAGTCTTAAAAAAAGCAGAATTAAAATTCAATTTTAAAAGCTGTTTAGCTGCTAGATTTTGTTTTGAGAAAAAACAATGCTTTCTTTGTTTTTCGACAGCCATCGTTTTTCGAACAACTGTTTACTGTTTTCTGGTTAATTCTTGGTTATTGTTTTTCTGAGCTGAGCGAACTGTTGTATTTAGCAACCGAGATGGCATCGTAGCATGTGGACAAACTACAACAACATAGGCGTGAACAACCCGGACGAACAGACCCAGAAATGGGAACAGCATATGTCCAAATTAGGCAGGGAACTAGCAGACCACAATTCCATACTCCGACCCCACACTACCATTTCTATTGGCGATGAGTCACTGGAAGACCCGGTTATGAAAGAAAAACAGTTCCAGACTTCACCTGCTGCACTGGCTACGGGCTCAAACTGACTGTATTTGAGAACAGAAACTTTTGAAATGATGTTTTGTTGTCTTGAAGATACATTGAAGAGAAAAGGCCAATCAACTTTTACGAAAAAAAAATTTAAAACAAAAAAATTTAGCCGATATAATTTGATTCAAAATCATGATGCTGGAAAACGATCAACAAAAAGGTAGTATTCAGGGGCGGATCTAAGATTTTCTAGAGGGGGGGGCGGATTTTCAAAAAAATTTCCAAAATTTTGTCGACTTTTTTTAGGTCGACCGAATTGATTTTTCGAGCTATCCCTAAGCACGGTTTAATCCCTGTTTTGGCCAAATTTTCTGCGCTGCAGGCAATATTTTGAAAAAACAGTCCAAAAAAGGCGTTTTTGGAAAATTTAGGCACTTTTTGGAAAATTTTGACCAAAAACAACGCGTTTTTTTGGCGCGCGCTCCCCTCTCACAATTAGTATGTATTGGCGCCTTAGGAGCCTTTAGAAAAATTTTAGCGTCGGTCGGCCAAAAATGGATTTCTTAAAAAGTACCAAAGGGGGACCCTTTGGGTCGGCAGGGGTTCGAATACCTGATGGGAGACGTCAGCCCCTCCCCCCCCCCCCCCCCCCCCCCTAAATCGGCCCCTGATACTATTAAGAAATTTTTAAAAAGTTGAACGGATTAACATCAATAGAATAAATTTCCACTAATAAGGTAATATTAGGTAAAATAAAGCAGCACTAGAAATTGTGTTCAGTCTCTCTCTCATTGCTCTGTGAAAAAAGAAGAGCCGGTTACAGGGCAAGTTACTGAGCACAGAAAATTCCGACCACAATAATGCCAAAACTAAAAAAAATATATATTCTAATATTGTGTCGTTTTCTGTTCGTGGCGAGATGAAAGGATCAGGAAGAAGACCTAAAACTTAATCATATTCAATAGTATTAGTAATTTAGGCCTATTCAACAACAGTTTTATTCGAAAAATGTTAAAGTGATTAGAAAATCAAAAAATGCTTCTAAAATTTGTTCAAAATTTTGCTGAATATTTCTTTTTTAGTTTTATATTTAACTTTTATTCTCAAAAAGACGGAAAAAACTTCTAAAACTAAATTTACAGAAACTTCTATTATCAGCGTGATCGCTTGCTTTATTTGCTCGAACTGAGAAAAAGTCGAAAACTTCAATTTGATTTTTCTCGATACTGAAGTTCAAGATCGAATCGCAACTGAAACGGAGTTAATATGATCAATCACTGGAACCATTTAAATAATTTTTTTTGCTTTTGCTTTCAAAAAAAAACATATTACAGAAATTAAAAAACTAAAACACCTGAAGACAAATCTCTTCCCTGCGTTCAGTAATCGTAACAACTAATGTGTAAAACGGGCAACTTTTCTGACACAGAAAATTTTAGATTCCGAACAGCGGCTGAAAGGACTTGAAATGATATAACCCTCAAAGCCCTGCGACTGTTATTCGTGATACCCGACTTTGCGAGGCAAAAACATCGAAGGCCAGAGAGCCTTTCCACTTTGAAGATTGACCGGAGCAACAATCAAACGGAACACACTGGCTTCTAGCCAATAAGGACCTTCAATTAATTGGCAAATTCTTACCGTTATGTTCAAAATGACAGAATTTATTTACATATTAGAACTATTATCCCGGGTTCACCAAAAATGCTTGTCATACAATTCTTATTATTGGAAAAATCTTGTACTGCAATTCCAAACATACAAAATTTTGTGAGAAAACTCTAGATTAAGCATTTTTTACACAAAGGCGAAGCGGAACTTCGCATTAATTGCGATACAAGAAATCATAAAAATCATGATTCGACAAAACTAAAGATGTTGAAAAAACCTAGGTGAGCCAAAATTTTCATATGGCTCGATAAAGCTGGATGTAGGTGTGTGTTTGATTTTTTTGAGTGTGCTATTCTGATGCGATATGAAATGTGTAATTTCACAAATTTGACTTTCCGCAACACGTAATAAAATAAGCGAGAAATTTTTTTTTAAATTATCGAATTTTCCAAAAAAAACAAAACCTTTCTCTAACAGAAGAGTAGCCGCTTTTGCAATAAAAATTGTTGATAGGGTAGTTAATAAGAAAACTCGAAAAGTTTCTAAAAAAAGGGTCTGAGTTCAAAAATTTGACTTTCCAAAATCCGTAATTTTTTCTGCTTAAAGCAGGTCGTGGCCAGTAAAGTATAGTAGATTCCCAAAATCAGGTATCTCGATTGAAAACTTAACCTGAGAATTGGCAAGTTACTTTTCGATTAGAGTAACAAAACAAAAATTCCACTTGTTTGAAGGCCATAACTTTCTTCTAAAGAAACTAGGCGTAGCAAACTAATAAAAGTGAGCTTTTTTACAGCTTGCAGTGTCGATTTAACCGATAACATCAGATTTGACAGGATTTTTTTGAGTAAAGTCCAGAAAAATGGTCAACAAATCAGAAAATTGACATTTCCGAGAATCAAAGCTTCTTGTTTAAAAATAATTGGGCGTAGCCCTTTATGCCAAAAAAAATCACCTAGCCTGTAATTTCATGAGAATTAGCATGTCAGCACATCAGCATCATAAGTAATTAAACTGATTTTTAAAACTAGCTGTTAACCCGAACAAACAGTGTACATTCCGACAAATCGATGATAAAGCTTGCTTATTGCCAGGGTAATGAATGAAAATTATTTGATAAGCATTTATCCATAAATCAAAGAAGTGTTTTATTTTTATTTTTGTTAAACAATTTTGTGTTTTGTCCGAAAACATAATGACCAAAAGTTTTCTTATACATGAAACCCTCTTGGTTGAAGGGAATAAATCTCACAGATAGTCGGAATTTTAGTTATAACTAATTGAGATAAAATTTTATAGATCACTCAGAACTATGAATAAAAATCTTAGTATTTTGAATATAGCTACAAAATTTTTAGCCAAAATTTTAATTAATCAAAAATCATGGGCTTTTTTTTGACAAACAGAAATGTAACTTAGAGTATAAAAACTTAGAAATTTCAAGTTTGGATTCGCAAAATTCGAGTCAATTTTGTTTGCGTGGAATGACAAATTCAACATGGTCTACGTTATAGACAAAAATAATAAATTTTAGCTTACATTTTTATTTTTTTTTCGGAAATTTTTCACGCAGCTCTGACCCCTATTCGCAAAGAAACTCAGGCCGATTATCTGACGTACAAGTAGCGAAGAAAGTTCCAGCCATAGTGGCATTGGCAAAAGGAACGAAAAACATCGTTTAAGCGTAAGGTGTTTGTTATTCAGTCAGTTTTGGAATTTTATAGTTAGGAATTTCGACAGAATTTTTATACCAACTGAAAAATGTTGTTTTCCTGAGTTTATCTATTTTATCGTAAAATTATTATTTTCTTACAGAACGAAATGAACACGAACGCAAAATCTTTTTACTTGGAGTTTCTTTGAAAGCGAATGATCCCGATTATTTGCCGAGTTGTGCAAAAACTGAGTTACATCTATCTGCAATTTTTTCTTCTATGTCTGTCCTTTCTTGATTTTCATTGCTTCTTGGAGCTGGGACAACTGCTAAAAAAAAACATAGGTCGATAAAAATCTTGTTGGTCCTGGGTTTGAAAATTGCTAGTTTGACCAACTTGGGATAAATAACGCGCAATATATTGCGTTCTTATCACATGCATTTGATACAATCTAAAATGAACAGAGACAAGTGAGTTGGTCGTATTTTCAGGATAAGATGCTGATTTGCTAATCTTCTAATTTCTCAAACCCCGGGAGATAAATCAAAAAAATTGTTTTCAAAAAAACAAACATTTTAATGAGCCTTGAAGGGCAGTCGGAAAACTGATATACGAGTGAGCAGTATTATTAGTGAATAAAGCCTTTTTTGTTGAAGCACATGATATGTAGCTTGTCTGCGAAAAGCTTAATATTTCAACTTAAACTTATTATCTGTGTAAACAATCTTGAGAACGAATAGTCTTTTAAAATTTAGAGGTGATTAGTGGATAATTGTCGACCTATTGCTCGCAAGGTCGCGTTTTGGTCACAATTATATATAGATTTTTTGGCCAAAATATGCCAGACATCTCTGCCTGTTTAAATTTGAGGTTTATCAGCCAGAATATGCCTGAGGTAAGCGCAACGGATCAATTGTTCGCTACGCGCCAATGCCGTTGGTATTCAATAAATGTTAAAATTATTGCTATAATAATAAATTGGCTAAAACTGACTTTTTTTCAGAAAACTTTAAAATGTCTCATTGGAAGTTGAGGTATAAACTTTGAAAGTGTCGATTGATTTATAATGATTCGACCCTATCTGTGCAAATAAGGCTCATTTTTTGTTCAATTATCAAATCTGTGTTTGTGTGAAAAAAAAACAGAAATACATATTTTCTCTTCACTTTTTATGGTCGAAAAAAAAGCTCTATAAAGTTAAGCAAAACAAATTTCGAACCGTCAAGTTGGGTTCCTAATTGTTGCACCTGTTAAATGGCATAAATATTTGTTTTGACACAGTCAATAAGAATTTATCTAGCGTAAAAAAGGAATTATCGGTTGTTTTTTACCGACAAACTTCGATTCTCGCAATATTATTTTGCCGTCTTTTTGATTAAAAAAACGTTGTGGTGAAATTAAATTAAGGAAAATTTGTATCTCTTTTAGCTATGAGAAACTTCGGTGATGTTGTTGCTTTGAAATACGTCAAATTACAAAAATTGCATTAATAAACGGCCGTTTAGTCGTGTGCAGCTATCATTTCAACGGATCAGAAATTTGCGAAAGCCTCCGCATTCCAAATCAATGTTAAAGAATCCAATCTCTTCAATTTTGATGGTCGAAATAAACAAAGTTCCAGGGAATTAAATCAAAAAAGAAGTTTTGAACAGTCAATTTGGATTCTTAATTATTTCGCCTGTTTAATGGTAAAAAATTATTTTTACCCAGTCAGTAAGAATTTACCTAAGCTAAAAAAGAATTAAGTTGTTTTTTACCGACAAACTTCGAATCTCGCAATAATATTTTGCGGTAACTTTTTGAGAAAAAACCGAAAGCTTTGGGCATCCTTCGATGCGGTGAAATTAAATTAAGGGAAAATTGTATCTCTTTCAGCTATGAGCTATTTCGGTGGTATTATGTTGTTTTGAAATCAGTCAAAATACAAAATTTTCATTAATAAATGCTCGTTTTTTGTGTGCAGCTATCATGCCAACCGATGCGAAAGCTACCAAAGCCTCCACGTTCTAAAAAAAATGGTGAAGATCTGATTAAATTCTGATAAATCTAAATAGATGTATACAGAACTCGGGTATTTTTTGTTATGCGACCCAAAACTATCAAAACGATAAATGGGCTAATATAATTTGCAATAAAGATTCAAGTTTCTTTCGATTTGTTAATCGGATCCAATCAGAATAAAGCCTTGAAATATATTTTTCAAAATAGCAAAACATGGAATTTTCGGCCAGAAAATATAAAGAAAATCCTAAACTCTAAGATATCATTTAGTTGTGTGTGCATATGCCTTATCATATACTATCACTTGTTTCAAAATTTGGCCAAATTCAAAACAACCGATATGAGCCGAAATTCAAACAACTCAACCGAAAGTATGCAGACATTTCAGCCAGACACAATTCAGCCATTAAGAGGCACTCGCGCCAACGTGTTGCGAGATTGCAAACAGAGGGTAGGACTCTATACAAAATTTAGAGCCAGTTTTTGCCACGAAGAGACGACGCGAGCTAAGCACTTCCAATGGCGACCTTCAATTGAGAAATAACTCCAATTTCGATTTTCTTTCGAGTCTAGCGATTTAAAAAACTGGCATAATTGTCTGTACACTTTCGGCTGAATTGTCTGAATTTCAAATTGGCTAAAATTAATTTGACCGAATTGCCTGTGCGCCGTTTCAAAATTTAAATTTTTGAAAATTCAAAATCTTTTAACGGTTATGAGAAATTTTTGAAAGAAAAAACTATTTCAACCAAAATAAAACGTAATTGAACCATTCAGTAATTTTCCTTGCTATGAGCGATTTTGTTTAACTTTTTTGTCTGTGTTCGTTTGTTTGGTTAGTTTAAAAAACTTTTTCTGGACAAATGCTTGTCATAGATTTTCCGTTTATGGAGAAGACTTAATGACACAATTTTAGGGTAACAAAGCGTTTATTATAAACATTGAGTACGCATTGAACTGTGAGGTATAAATTTTTCATAAATGAACATTATATGGGAGTTTTTGCCAACCCGAAAAACGAATTACTATTCACAAGTATTGAAAACAACAAAAAAGGTTGATACAACTTAACTAATTCGACGGTTTATGTCCAAGTACGACAGAATGCTCCAGTTGCGATAGTTAATGTTGGATTAAGTTTCCTTGTAGTTATTTTCCTACCGACTTAGCGAAAACGACCAATACAAAACAGACTTAAAACGAGCCAAAATTTCAACGCCGTTGAACCGAGCCTTTTTATGATTTTCTTCCTAAACGTTTCTGGAATGCAATTACTCGCTTGTTATCGGATTATTGAGTTGTTCCAAAAAATTGCTAATCTACAATAGCACAGAATGTTCCGACTATTAAAAAATATAACGTTTTTTTTTTTAATTTTTTTTTTCAGATTACAAGTTTTTTCTGGGTGGTGTGATAAAAACAGCAAAGTTAGTTTTACCAACAATGTACAGTTATCTAAATTGTAAATAAGAACATAAATTACATCATAAATAACAAATATAACACAAAAGTGTTTTTTTAGCATTCATGATTGTTTACTATGTTATTTTTTCCGATTTATTGCTTCAACTTGTAACTTAAATAAATCTGATTTCTCCTTTTTTCGCTTAATAGCTTTTTGGGTCATTTTTTTGCGTTTGTTTTATCAATTTAGTTGCCCAATTTTGTGTCATTTGAAGGAAAATTAAATTGTTTATCCCTGCGCGTTTCTGGTGGGGCCGAAACTTTTAAAGCGCTTTTTTTTCGACACAAAAAAACTCCAAATGGTCATAACTTCAAAATTCGACAATTAATATTTCTATGACTCTTTTCCACAAAAATAAGGGCGTAGCCGTTTTTATTTATGCAAGGAGGAATTCTAATGCCGTTTATTGCCACTGAACGCTTGTTCTCAGATTTCTTTTTGGCACGGTAGATCTGTTTTCGAAGAAACGAACAACAGTTTAAAATTTGGGCATTTTCTAAGGCCATAAATATTTTATAGAGAAACAGGGCGCGGCAGCTTATGCAGGTAAGATTCCAATAACATTTCTTTTGTTTGAAGTCTTTAATTATTTCAGATTTATTGAGGTACTTTTTGAGAAAATGAAAAAAAAAATTCAAAAATTGCGTCAAAAATCCCCCCCTGCAAGTTTTGAATGGAGTGTGATTCGGTAAAAAGGGACAATATACAGAAAACAGGGGAGTAGACGGTCTTTTAACCAGTTTTGTGAAAATGATGCCACCAAAAATAAAATTTATATTTGTGACTTGGATTAGAAAAAAGAATTTTTATTAAGAACTACGCTCTGCTTGTGTAAATATGCGGAACAATAATCATGGAAAAACATATAACGCTGTACTTTTTCTTGAGAATATTTTCCAGAATCTATTAAATTGAATATAGTAAAAGGTTTGGCGGTAAGATTGAGATTGCTACACAAACTGATTTGGTATTTTACAGTGCAAGGACAACTCCGTCTTTTCGTTACAAAAAATAGAAGTGAAAAATTAATTCAAATTTACATAGAGTACAATTTCTTTACAGATGAAATTTGATCAATAGAAACAGTTTCAGTTCTCTCTACGAATTCAAACAGTTCCTTTACAACCTGTTTTTCCTCTTTGCTCAAAAACATGGTCAATGTTGAAAATCGCTTAACTTTCGAAAGCGCAGCGAGGTAAGGGAAAACTTCTGGTTGCCTTTTAAGCACAAAATAGTTTTTGAACACCTGCAGAAAAGTAGTTAGCATTGTTGAGTCGAACGCCGAATGAGGTATGAGTGAGGTCAGCTTCTGCGACGGTATTTGTTTCAAATACAAGAAAGTATTTTCCTGGTTTTTGTGAAGCTGTTTCCAATCTGCAATAAATTGCATTGAGGACATAGGAACAGGCGGGATTTGGATTTCTTTTGATTTGACTTTAACATGGTTGTCTGATTTTGGTGATTCCGCCTCCAGATTTTCATTTAACTTGTGAAACCTTGAAGAAGTGTCTTCGGTAGTTTTATCCGCACTGTCATTCAATGGAGTGGACCAATTTGATTCAACTGCGTCGAATTTTTGTGACTCTGTTTTCGATTCAGTAATGTCAGAAGCAATCTCAATAACTTTTGACTTTGAAGGCTTTGTTTCTTTCGTTTTGATAAAATTGGCTTGAGCTCCTAAATTAGAACTCAAATTTTCAGAACTCCTGATTTCCTCCACGTGTATTCTTCTCAGCGGAACTTTCGACCTTTTCCCAATACTTTTCTTTACCGGCATCACTATATTATTCGTATTCGCAATGCCACTTTTGTTCTCTTTCACCAATTTCAGTTTATTGAGCTCGTTCAAAGCTTCTTTGTTATCTGGTTGCAGCTTAAGTACAGTTCTAAAATCTTGCTCACTCTGTTCCACTTGACCTAAGTTCCGATAAGCCGAAGCTCTTCTCAGGTACGATTTGAAATATGAGTCATCTAGCTTAATAGATTCGGTGCAATCATCAATGACTAAATCATTTTTACCCAGTTTCAAATTAGCCATTGCTCTGTTTGAATACAATAGCGCGTTATTTGGGTCAGCTTCGATGCCCTTTGTGTAGTATATTATGGCATCATTTAGTTTACCATTTTTGAGACATTTATTGCCCTGCTCTTTGTAGAAACTGGCCTTTTGTCTTTCTCTCTGTCTCAAAAGAGCGGCCACTTTTTCTTCGTCGTTTTCCTCGAGTTCACTTTCTTTGTTTTCGTTCTTCGCAGATTCACTCTCAATTTTTTCACATTCTTTATCCACGTCAAATTTGTCCCATGCTCTGTAGTCGTACGACTGAAACGAATAATTGCTTCAATTTCACGGAAATTATTCAACTCAGCTTAGCAATCAGTTTAATATCTTAGTTAAATATCTATAAATAATTAATTATCTTGGTACATTTTAGCAAGTGCTCATTAGTTGAAGATTAAGCAAACGATTCACTAGATCATAGAAGAGTGCTCAATTATTTAATTCGTTTATTTTAACAAGGCCGAATGCTACATTAGTTAGACTTCATCAATGATCACGGGGTCTGTCAAACTCGCAAATTTTTACAACAGTTCATGGTTCTCTAAATATCTTCATGGCAACTTACTTTAATTTTCTGTTTCTTCGGCGACTCCTCGTCCTTTAAATCCTCTTTCACTGCCTTTTTCTCCACTTTGGGCTTAGTTGCAATATTCCTCACAGGCGGCCTTGACTGTTCACCATCCCCAGTCCCTCCCATTTTCCCTCCCTCTCCAGAACTAGTAGCCCCCGCCCCAGTAGCGATTGATTTAATGACCTCGTCTTTCTGCTTGATGTCTGTCTCCCACGACTGCAGTTCACTCATGAAGTCCGCCAACTCAGTCTGGTTGTGCTTCAAGTTGATCTGCATGTTCATGAAGTCTGCTGATGAAGTCATCTCTTCTGCTTAATCAGTGTGATTGAGTGAACAAAATTTAAATAACAAGGCACATTCAAATTGAATCTGAAACAATAATCGAATGCTACACAACTGATCTAAGACGGAAAAGAGGTGAACTCATTTTACTTACCGTTTTTAAAACATCTTATGTATTGTGTATTCAGCATGTTTTTTGGGTGTATATTTTTCATAATCAACCTAATAACATTAGGAATCAAGTTACTAAATAGCTCAAACAAAAAGAAACTGTAGTGGTGCAAGCGAAATATTATATTCCACTGAAAACTATCAGAAGTAAATAATCAAAACTAAAAACATCGCTAACAGACAGAAGGAAAAAATTCAATGAACAAGTACACCGAAAAACTTTTGTTTTTACTTAGAAATTCAAAGAAAAATAACTACATCACTTCAGTTTTTTTCGAATTTCGAGAACCTTTTATGTTGACATTTTTTTGATATCATAAACTTTTTGATAGAAATTTTTTTATTTTGCCGGAAACTTTTTGAAACCAGAAACCATTCACGTTTTTTCATGCAACTTCCTATTTTGCCACTGGAGAGGGTTATCTTCCTTCCTTTTAGTAAATGAATTTGAATTGAATTTACAAAGAAATCATGCGACGAAACTCCAAGTATAAATTTGAGCGTGACTAAAAAATTTACACTGCCGGAAAAAAAAACAAGCTTAAAAATTCGCTTCGTTGATTGGCACTCAAAATACCCCAAGTTCCTTATTACTAAAATCGTTGAATCCTAAACTACTATTCAAAGAAAAAAGTACAAAAAAAATTTATTTAACCTCATGGCTGATATTTTTCATGAATTTAAAATCAAATTAAGCAATGAAAGAATAGAACAGAGAAGATTGGACTAGCCTGGCATCCATTTTGGACGATGAATTAGGGACCTTAGAGGGGGTGAAGAAGTCACTTGCAAGCAAAGTAAAGCGGATGAATTGCATTTTGTTCAGACTAAGAACATACAACACTGACAACAGTATCTCGACTCGGCAGTATTTCGTTTTTAACGCATTTTACCTAAAAATGCTTCTATAACTTGTCTCTCTTCCTTTCTTTTATTATGCAAACTGCTGTTTTGATTGGCAGCAGATTAAAAATAATGACTGAATTTCAAATCAGACTACCTAAAAATTTTTAGCCAAATCGAGAGACTTATGAATCAAAGTTACCTGACCCGGTAATGGATGATGAAGGCATTAGGCAAGAAAAAGATTCGATTTATACACACAATTAAACTAGCCAAACCCACATTAAGCGATAGAAAATTGAACAAAAAGAAGCGACCAGAGATGAGAAATATGAAGAAGAAGGAACATATTGTAGCACAGATTTCGAGATATTGAGATTTGATCAATCTGATAAAATGAAACTAATGATATGACTCAGGGATTCTACTGTGGCGAATGAATAGTGCACTAAAATTACTAAATCCATTTCAAAGCAGAAATCAATTCATACAACACACAACACAAGATTGCGCAAAATTTGATTTTTGCTATTTAAAAGTCCGAAAAAGCTATCCAAATCGATGAAAAAAAGGCAGAAACATGATATCCTTTAAAGCCCTTAACAAATGCTTATTAAAAATTTTATAAATCAAAAAAAGAGGTTTTAATACAAGAATTATTTTAAAATCAGATACACTGCACCCACGCTAATTCAAAATCATCTAATTCACAATTTTCACACCATTAAACTATTTTATCAATTAAATGCTACGTTTAGTCACAAGTTAATTATAATTTAGCACTTTCTAACGTCTAACCAAAACCGTTTCACCGCCCTAAGGGGTCTGTAGGACTTCAACCTAAACCTTCTCATAAATTTGACTTCTCAAAACCCCGCAAACTTTCACACGTAGCATTCTTCCTCATCATCTTCATATTTCACACTTCTGCACCTTTGGTCTCTGCTCGACATGTTATTGTACGCATACATTGCAGTTTGACTTCTTTGCTCTTGACTTCCGTTTCCACCAGCTGCAATTTCCGGTCTAGATAAGAACATGTTCAGATTCTGTTCATACTTCTGTCTCGAACTTCCAGCGCCACCACTGATGCGTTGTGACGAAGAAGACTGCGTAACAATCATATTCACATTTTGATGATTACGTAATTGCGACGAGTTTGTAAGTATGTCATCATTGCGTTGGTTCCTATTGATAGAAGACCCTTTTTTACTCGATGACAATACTGGCTGACCAGGGTTGAACCCAGATTTGTGCATTCTGTTTTGTGACGTTTCACACTCGATGTCAGTTCCAAAATTCTTCCTCAAAGGTGCATTAACAGGGGGCGGTCTGGTTAATTGATAGAGACCTTGACTTGGATTAGGATAACCTTTATTAAGGTTGTTTCTTGTCCCTTCGCTTTGATCTTTTGCGGGCGTTGATTGCAAACCATAAGTAGTTCCATTGCTTTGATATGTTTTCTGAGTTTGCGCGAACATTACATAGTCTCCATTCGATTCATTCGAAGGTTGATCAACTTCCATTGCCAATTCAGACGAATGCCTTCGATGATGTTGTTGTTGTTGTTGCTGCTGCTGTTGATGTTGTTGACTATTATTACTAACAACTTGATTAGTTGAATTTTTAGTTTTCTCTTTCCTACTTGAACTTTTACTGGATCCTTGAGAAGTCCCGCTCAAGAATGTTTGATCATGGCCGCCGCTGCTACAATTTTCGTCGACTAAATTTTCAGAAGATTTGAAGCTTCTTAAACCATTAAAGAACTTTTTAGCCATCGAAGTTCCCGACTTCTGGCTGTTATGTTTGTATAGACCATCAATTTCGTCTGCTTCTGATTCCTTTGACAATTCCAGATCAGTCAAGTTAGTACTGGACTTGAACAACTTGCTAGTCAGACCCGATCCGACTGATTTACTTTTCGGAATTTTACCGAAGCCTGCCGACGTTAATTCTGGCGACGCTCCTGCGGAGTTTGGGAAATTTGGCATCGGCCTGCGATATGTAAACTCATAAAATGCATGATCGGGGTGCTTCAAAGTGTGATCAGGTTGATAATCCGAGTTGTTCACCGGTTTCGCCATTAGATGTCCGTCTTCACTCTGGAAATGCTGAGTGTCCATTTCATGTTTGATCTCGGGAATATACGGTGCCACAGTGGTCCGTAGTTCCTCGAAGGGAAGGCAAGATAGAAACGGGTGGTTTTTGAGCTCGTCCACTGAGCGAGATCCAAGTCGATTTCTTTGATCGCGACAAATGTGTTGAATGAAGTCAACGCAGTTATGCGAAATGGGAATTATGTCACGAGGTATCCGCAGATACTTCTTCCAGTTAAGCACCTGAAAGTTACACAACCTTGTCTTTTGGATTCACTGCTGCCTATTTCCTGACGCCAGTTCCGTATTATAGTTCCTGAGACCTTGAAATTTAGTTAGTTTCCGAAAATTCGCAACGTATAAATACTGAACGTATTTATGCACTAAATCGGTCTCTCAAATTGAAGGACCAGGATTACTATTTAATATCAAACAATTCGATAAATTTAATAACATTTACATAAAATAGTTTAGAGCTGCCGTTGCTGACTCTGGTCAATTATATTTCTCCCCTATTATTAATTAATGAAGGCACTGATCAACAGAATTAAAGTTTATTTAACTAACTACCGCTCGGTTCGTTTTCAGTTTTGGTCCTAATTTGAAATAATGATAGCCTACAGATAGATAAAAAAGTGAAAATGAACGCTAAGAACCGAAAATCAATTTTCGAATTACAAAGCAAAAAATTAACTGCAAGTTTTTTAAATTTTACAAGAGACGTAGCGGAGCTTCGCATCACTTGCAATACAATACAAACATTAAAAAAAGGAAAATAATGAAAATAAAAGGTTGTCGTATGTCTCGATAAAAACTCATACTAGGCAAACGATAAATTTAACCCTATTAGAGAAAATTTGATCAATAGTAAAATTTTTATATCTCGGTGGGAAATCTGAAAATTAAATTCCACTTTCGAAACTAGAACTCTATCACGTTTTTTGTGACCTTTATAATTTGGTTGTTCGATAGTAAAGTTTGCCTTCCTTTTAAAAAATAAAATGAACTGATTTTACAAAGAAATTAATAGTCCTGAAAAAACGAAAAAACCTATATACGTTCAAAAGAATCACGACTACGTTCAACCACGCTTAAAAAAAGAAAAACCATGCAATACGTTCATTGACACTTCTACTTCTACTTTGAATCGGTGTATTTTTTGTGGATCTTTAAGGAGTTGATTTATTTTCCAGCAACGGTTGGCTCAATTTGCTTTTGTTACTTCATCCAATTTCAACTTGATTCTGGTTCTTAATTACTGGTTAACCTCAGTGAACTTACCCGGTACTGAGTGTCGGCCGGCGTCTCTGCACAGAACGGGGGTCTCCCAAGGACCATCTCGTAGAGAATGACCCCCACACTCCACCAGTCGCAGCTCTTATCATAGGGCACCTTCATCAACAACTCAGGCGCTATGTAGTTGGGAGTGCCCACCAGACTATGCGCTAGACATCTGTGTCTCTGTAGCCTCTTGTACCTAAGCACGCAAAAAACAATTCTTAGGCTATTTCAACAAACCATTGTAATGTTATCAACATCAACAGATCATTGGTGCGTTATCAACAAAGTGAATATTCAATTATATTTTCACTTAAATATTCTCACTTGCTTTGCTTCTTTTCACCGTTTCCAATAATAATATAAATTGAAGTTCCAATTTCTGCTCGATAATCTCATAATAGTACAATTACAAATGAGGATGATCATTCATTTTTTTTTGAAAAAAAATCAATTTACATTTAACTTACAGCATCTATCATCAGGTGTACATAATCAATTCGAGTGCATGAAGTTTGTGATGGTGCTGAATAATACCTTGTTTCAAACCCACGCGCTTAAACTACAGATCGACCGATGAAACCACTTGATTTAAATGTAATTTAAGTGACGAATTATGCGTCACAAAACTCAACCAGTTGCATATTTACAATTCATTGTTTGTACACAGAGGCGAAGCGAAGCTTCGCATCACCTGCGATACCACACAAATAACATTGCAAGCTAGCAGACAGAAGAGGAAAAGCCCATTGGATAGGTAAGTTTTTTATTTCACTGGGAAATTCGATAATTTTCACTTTCGAAACTAGAAGTTGATCTCTTTTTTGTGACCTTTACACTTTCGCTGTTCGATAGTGGAGTTTGCCTTCCTTTTAACAAGGAAATGAACTGAACAGAAAATTAAACCGCGAAAAAAAAGTGAACAAATTTTAGGACTTCTGCAAAAAAAACGAAAATAATAATCGCGACCTAAACAAGAGTCTATCGACTTTAAAAAAAAAATAACCAAAAGAGAAATCAAGGAAACCCAAAAACGGATAGAACCATATAATACAAGAGTAAAAAGCTAAAAGAAGTTGTAACAAATCCGTCAAAAATCTTCAAAACGTCAAATAAGATTCATATAGCAAAATTGACAAAAAAATTAATATACATAGTAAATGAAAATAAAATCCTGACAGAAACACTCGCAAACACTATCCAATGAAATGCAATAAAGCGAAAGGAGCTTCGCAATCTGTGCAAAATGTTTCCACCATGAAAATTATTTTCAAAAATCAAGCACTTTTTTCCAATCTTTCTCGCATGCAAGGGATAGGGATTGAAAACAAACTTGTTAAAAGACTAGAAAAGCTCCATTAACTTAAAAACAACAACAGTAACGTTAGTTAGACGGTCACTTCATTCTTAACTCATGCAGTCAGCTTAGCAGTTATTAATTCTGGGTAGCACACAAATCAACATTTTTCTGGCCCAGCCAAAATCGACTCAGATGCTTTCATCCAAAAAATTTGAAGAAAATTGCACACAAAATCATTCCATTCATCAACATCTCAAATTTTATGTTCATCGTCATTCCAAAACATCTCATTCATCTTCACAAAAAACCATCCTTAGACTAAATAGAGCATCGATGATATGGATTAACAGTTTGCTAGTACCGCGTTCCTCAATTGAAACAGTAACTAGACGGAGTATCCCCTCGACTACTTAAGAGGCAAACGAAAAAGTGAACTGAACCAAATCGAATCAAAAGATAAGCTCAATAAAGTACTTATAACACATTTAAGGAAATAATCAATTTTTGACCGCTATCTAAATACTAAAATGGATACTTTTGAAAATCATTCGGCTAAATTGCCTTGAAAAACATTAACCTTGAAAAAAAAATTTTGCCTTATAAAAACAAGTAAGTTACTTGTTTTTGGAAGCTATATCTTCATGAAGAACCGTGCTTTGAAAATCCTCTCGACTTCGTGGAGATGCACTTGAAACCAGTCATGTCCATTAAGAAAATAAACATTTTAAATCGAATTGGTCAAGAAAATTTATAAAAAATCGTTGACATCAATTTGATTTTTTCCAATTAAAATTGAAATCTTTCTTTAGCAAATTAAATTTTTCCCAAGCCTGCTTTAAGTAGTTTTTTTGCCAATTTTGTGTACTGTTCACAACTTTGAAATGAAAACTGAGATTTTTTTCTTTTCCTGTCGCACTCTGAAATCTGAAATTAATTGACAGTAAAATGTGTACTCAAGCGTCGAATCGAATCCTGCTCGAGCAATTTGAATTTTGATTCAATTTAAATTGCTTGATTTGAATTAAAATTAAAAAGAAAAGTTGCTGAACTAAATTGTCTTTTTTTAAAATGGACATTACTGATTCAAAGACTGCAAAATCCATTTCCTGTTTTTGATAACATTTTGCAAGTTAAAACTACATGAACATTTACCCGACCCAGCGGAAAATGACCACGAAATCCGAGAGAACTAGAAGCCCAGCTAGGAGATACCTTTTTGATAAATTTGATTTGTTGTTCTGATGCGTGATGAAATGGGTAATTTGAAAAATTTGAAAATTGGGCTTCATCCAAAACTTTAGTTATTGCTCTATTAAAATAAGAGAAAAATTTTTGCGATTTTTGAATTTTGCCAGACACAATGTTTTTGAACAAATTTTAGGTCTTAGCATTTTATGCACCGATGCTTCCCACAACCTGTTGACTCGATTAAATCCTTGATATCAGATTGAGTTGTTTTCGAGAGGAGTCAAACAGTTTCACAAAACGGACAAGAAATCAAAACATTGGCTTTTCCGAGGGTCATAAGTTTTTGTGTGAAAAAATTTGGGCGGATCCGCTTATTAAGTGGGCTTCCTACAACCCGTTCTACACATTGAAACTAAAATCTCAGATTGGCAAAGGTAGTTTTCGAGAAAAGTCAAAACGTTTCAAAAATCAAGGTAAAACATTCCCGCAAGACACTTTTTCTAAGGCTGTAGAAAGTGGGGTCAGGAAACAAGAGCCAAGTAAATTACGCAGGCACACAGAGTAGTGGAGGGACTTCCCATTGGTACCACTTTTTTAAAAGTTTGAGAAAAACTAAATTAAAAGCAAACTCCAAAGCAACTAAAAAAACGAATAAAAACATAGCCAAACGAAGATCGGAAAAGAGTACTGAACGCAAGTAAACATAAAAAACACTGACTTTCTTGAAAAAATCTTATTTCAAAGAAAAAAATAGATGCCCTTCAGGCTCTTTCAATTTCTACTAGAACAATTTATGATTGCCGCTTTTTTGATACCATGAACCCAACTTGAGAAAACTGGATCAATAGGTAAAGATTTTTCCGCTGGAAAATCTTAAAGAGAAAATTCCACTTTTTGAAAGTAGAAATCGTTCACGTTTTTCCTCACCATTTCCACGTTTGTATTTGGAGAGTGCTATTTACGCCACTTCAGCAGAATAATTTCACAAAGTACATTATACATAAGTGCATCAATATTTTAAGGCTTTTTCCTGAAAAAAAATCAAAAAAAAATCAGCAAGACCTATAAAAGACTCTTCACTACGTTCATTACTTTTGACAGAAAACGCGATCCCACAAATTTTCATAATACAAGTTTTTCTAAACAAATAGGAACATTAAAAACGAGCAACAGAATCTAAAAATCCTTGCTTGTCGTTCAGCAACCGATAAATAGAAATACAGGACCGAAATTTCTACAGAGGCGAAGTGGAGCTTCGCATCACTTGCGATACAAAATTGTATGACTGTGATTGCCATCAAAAAATGACAAAAAAATGCCGAAACGAAATGCACCATAAGAAACTTTACAAAAAATAAATCGAACCTTTCTGTGGGACTTAAGCCGGCAAAAACTAGCAGACACGCAAGTTAAGATTTTTCGAAAATTTTTAGTTTCGACGAAAAAAACAGGTCCGTACTGTAAAAAAAAAGCAGACAAACAGAAGTCCGTCCAAGATTTTTTGACACGCGGACAATTTTCCGCTTAAGGAAACAGTTCCTGGTCAGATTTGAACCATTGACCTTTGCCTTTAAAGGCAGGTGCGTTACCTCTTCGCCAAATACGTAAACTAACGTCCAACTAACTTTGATATGAACTAAAGTTAAAACGATTCAAGCGATTCGGTTAAACTAGTTGTTAACCCGCAAAAAGTATATATTCCTGTTTGACAAAGCTGGCTAATCGCAAGCGTAATTAACCATGCGAATCAGAGGACTGGCCATTACGTGAGACAAAAACGCGAAAACGAACGGTCGTCCCAAAAACTTAACTGGATTCAAATATACACATGCTCTTGCCCGAGCCAATTTTCTATCAAGTAAAAAATATACACGCCTAAAATAGCAAAATGACAATGGCAAACAAGCGGCAACGACCCAAAATAAATTTAAAAATTCTCGCATCATTCAAGAGTAAAACAATGTATTAATTTGCCTCTCTAGGCTCACATATAAATTTAATTCCATCGAGGCAATATGGCTTATGCAGTATAAAAACTGGGAGAAACTGATCAAAGAAATGTGTGACCTTTATTGGAGAAAAATTGGCCTCGTACTAAAACACGAAGGTTCGGTTATGCAGAGAATTAACTGACCTGTCAAGAGGCTTCACCCTCTTACACTCATTGGTCCCATCAGCGCCGCCATTCTCCTGTTCACAGTTAATACCATGTAGGGCGTTACTCTTATTTGGCTGAGTGTTGTCTGCCGTTGTATTATTATCAGTACAGCAATTGCACTCTTGCTGCACCATCTTTTCCCACTCCTCGTCGTCCATCTCAAAATTATCGTCCTGCAATTTTCCTAAATCAGAAAACAAAACTTAACCATACTACCCATCAATTACCGAACGGGGAGTCGAAAAACGCGTTCATGTCCAATTATAGTATGGAAAGGTTTGTTATTTTTTGCATTTTTCGCTCAATATTTTTGCATAGAAAATGTGCAGAATAGTTGGTAAATCTTACGAGTAGTTTTGCAAAAAAATCCAAAGTTTTGTGCCTATGATGTTGGCGTTACATGATAAACGCAGAGGCGAAGCAGAGCCCTGCAACAGCGATATAACACAAATACAGCATGATACTCAAAAACGATTGAAAAATTTGAGCAAAGTTACCTTAGTAACATATATTATTTTAAAATTCATGTTTTTCTTCAAAGAGGGCCGGAGAAGTTGATTACAAGCTTTCTAAAATACATTCTCAAAGATAAATATTTATATTTTTTAAAAATAACTAGGTAAATAAGCCAGCACCCAATCATCTTAAATATTTTCTGGAAAAAATCTTCTATGTAGCAAATGAAAAACCAACAAATTAAAAACGAATACTAGAGTGACCATACAGTTAACAAGTTAATTACGGTAAAAAGACTAATACCCGGTTGCAATACCCTTGCTGATCGAATGTTGTTTTACTCTTTTGCTGATGTTGTTTCTAACGACTTACAAAAATTATATAAATTCTTTCTTGTTCTTTCTTTCTTTCTTTATCTTCATTTTTTCTTCCTTAGTTAACTGTAACAACTTGCAGATTCAAATGAACTTAGCATCAAACAATGTTAAAGACTGGAATATTTACCATTCTGGTAGTATTTCGAGCTGTGCGTCCACTTAAAGCCAGTGCACAGTCCGAAGTCAGTGAGCTTTATGTGTCCTTCCTTGTCGATCAGAATATTGTCAGGCTTGATATCCCTAAACAGTCAACTCTTTAACATATGAAACATAGCCAATCGAAGATTGGAAACGAGTCAAGAACGCAAGTAAAAATATAAAAAAACACTTTCTTGAAAAAATCTAAACTTTCGAATTTCCAAGAAGAAAATAGATGCCCTTTGAATTTCTAGAACCATTTATGCTTGGCACTTTTTTGATTACATTAACACAACTTGGGAAAACTGGATCAACAGGTAAAGCTTTTGTTCCCCTGGAAATCTAAAAATTATATTCCACTTTCGAAACTAGAAAACCTTCACATTTTTTCGCGCCATTTCCACGTTCGTATTTGGAGAGTGCTATTTACATCAATTTCAGCGGATGAATTTCAATTGAACTCAAAAATTGCATATATACCTAGGTGCACCTAAGTTCCGGAAAAAAATCAGCAAGACCTATATAAGAGTCTTTACTACGTTCATTAGTCTTAAAACGGCATTGGATCGCAAAGGCTTCCATCGATAAACTAATAAATACACTATAAATATTTCTAAACCAAATCGACCGGGCTCTGTACTAATGCAAATGCACTCACAGAAACGTCAAAACGTCTCAGAGCTTGAACTCAACTTATTCGATTTCAGGAACGTTTCAAAAAACTATTTTCAAAATGAACAACCAATCTAAGGCTTTTCACTATAAACAAAACTTGTTTAAAAACTTGACTATTTGAAGATAATTTAGTGTTCGCACGAATATACAAACGAGCAACCCGTTGTACTCAAAAATTGTACAGATATATGAGACCACAGATACCTTAGAAAAAAAACTGGTACAAAAACATCAAAGCCAGAGAGTGGCGGGTTGTAGTACAATATTCAACAATTAGTATGCTTAAAAAACAGAAATCAGCCTCCCTCTTTAGCCAAAAATCATCGTTTTCTGGTAATTATGGTCAATTTTTCTGGAAAATCTTTTTGCAGCTCGAGTTCGAACTAAAACAAGGATAGCCATTTACTATGAAAGTAGCACAGAAGGTTTCGACCATATTCATTAAAAAAACTAGGTTTTTTTTTCTTCAAATTAGTGTCAGTTTTAGTGTAAGGTGTGATTCGAGAACTATTTAAACGCGCAGAAAATAAGATCGGCAACATTTTTTTTTCAAAAAAGAATACTAAACAAAAAACAACAACTTTTTAAAACAATTTCAAAGTATATATTTATTTTCTGTAGAAAACTTTTTTTATTTTGTTAGAAAAACTTTATAGCCAAAAAACAAAAAGCAGCCAACAGACAGTTGGAAAACAGTCAATGAACGCAATTAAAGACTTGTTTTTTAAAAACATCTCAATTTCAAAGAAAGAAGTAGATGGACTTGAAGCTCTTTGAATTTCTGGAACAATTTATGCTTTTTTGAACAATTTTGATACACTTAACCCAACTGGAGAAAACTGGATCAATAAGTAAATTTTTTATTGCGCTGGGAAAACTGAAAATTTAATTTCATTTTGCTTATCAGTTTAACACTTTGGCTGTTCGATAGAGGAGTTCGCCTTCCTTTTAACAAGAGTAAACAGTCAAACAACAAAAAACTAAATTTGAGCCTGAGCAATTTTAGGATTTTCCTGGAAAAAAATCATCGCGACCTATATAAGAGTCTGTACTACGTCCATCGACTCGAAAATTTCATACCGGTTTTTCTCAAAACTGGCAAAGTATTTGGAATTTTTTTGTGTCATTCGGATCACGACTGGAAGAGCTTTAATATGCTTTATCACTCAACGCAGTCCGATGATTATTTGTAGAAACTTGAATTTGCGTGAAAAAAAAACACCAGAAAAAAAAATCCTCCCCATTTTCAATGGTGGGAACAAAAAGCATTCTAGTACATCAGTCTTCCTCATCACATATTCATTTCAGATGCAGTATTTGCGTACAACTAGAAAACAAATGTGACACGCTCAGCCACACACACACATCCACCCACTTGGTGGGAAGGAGACTATTAATTATTAAGGTTCACTAATAACTTCAGATTCGTATATACTGAAAAAGCAAGGTCCGGCCGCGACTCGAACCTCAGACCAAAGGATGCCAAGGTAACTGCATAACATCCAGGTAAAGTGGGAAGGAGACTGGAAATTATCAAGGTTCACTAATAACGCGAACTCAATAGCAAGTGTGCGTGTTGGTCTTTCAGGATAATTCAACTTCAACATGTGCGTGTTTAGCAACCTAACCACCCATCCACGGAGATAACATTGCTTAGCTTCTTCAATACTGCAGTTATAATCGAGTTCACGACTACATTTGAGATCGTTTCGTGAGTTTCAGAAGGATTACTTTCATAAACAGATAATTGTGTGTGTGTTTGTGTTCAGCAGACCACCCACCAACACACCACATGACAAAATGAAAGGAAGATGAGCAAAATCTTAAATATCAATAGGTTACTTCGATGAGCAAACAGTACACCACACACGGGCTCGGTCACTTCTCGAAACTACCTTGTAATTGGATAAAATGAATTACTCAGTGCTTGGAAATGTTTTGTCAAGCCAAAAAAGACGACATCCGACATTTCATTGATCAAAAAAAATTATTCGATATCACCTTTTCCAGATTAGTAAAATACTGTACATTCCAATTAAAAGGCTAATAATGCTCGTCTTTCGTCAAAAAAATGAAATTTTGTAGTTTTTCAGTTTCGCAACATTTGAAAGACCTTTTAGTACACACCAGGAACAACATGACATCGATGATATAAGATTAACCATTTTGCAGTTCTGGGATTTATCGCTATGTATTTCATGGATATCATTCGAAAAAACAAGAGATGTATTATCTTCAACATTACGCAGCTTCTTCGATACCGCAGTTATAACGGAGTTCACGACTACATTTGAGATCGTTTCTTGAGATTCAGAAGGATTACTTTCATTAACAGATAATTTATTGATAGAATCGTCGATAATAGACAGTAGAGAATTGGTCTTGACAGCACACTTCAGCTGTGAAACGCATTTGCGAAGTGAGCAGCAGAGCATCTTTTCTAAGTTTCTAATTCATCTTCTGAACAGTATACACTGGTTCTCAATTGTTGGGTAAATTGTAGCAAGAACAAACACAAGAGGAGGCCAAGCAGAGCCTGGGACTCAAACGTAAGACCAGAGGATACCAAGGCAACTGCATAACCTCCAGACAAAGTAGGAAGGAGACTGGAGTTATACAGGTTCACTAATAACGCAAGCTCAACTTCTTACAAATTTGTAAGAAAAATTGTTTCCGGGGAACAGAGTCTAGTTTCCGATTACAAGAAACTTGCTCTAGCAAGTTTAATAAGGATTTGAACAACTAAAAAAAAACAATTGATATAAGCAAAGAAAAACTGGTGCAATAACCGTTTCTTGAGAAAAAGAAGTCAACTGCCGATATCCAGGAGACGGAAACAAATACATAATGTTTCGTTCCTTCCAGAAATTCAAATCACAGTTACGTAATTCGATATCTAAAAGTCCTCTGTTGAGGACTAACCAGGTATATTATCCGATTCGCAGCAAAATCAGCTCTAAAATGGACTTAACAAACGACAGCAAATGCTAATTAATAAGTTTCTCACAATAATAAGGCTATCAAAACATCATTCACACAGAGGCGAGAACACGACAGAAAGCAGCTCTATAAAGTGCAATAAGGAAAAGTAGATATAAGCCTCGATTTAGTTAAATTCGGCTATCGAACTCCGACCGATCGCGACCAACAGCTGATGAGCCTCGTGCACTAACCACTGAGCCGCGAACATCTTATTAATCACAAACACTAGCCACAAATGAAGCATAGAACAGATGCTATGAAATTTTCAATACTACAGATCGAGAGTATAGCGGAAGTGCCACCAATTAAGTGAACACTTTTAAATGCGGTTTAGGTTCAAAAAAAAGAAGGTTAGTATTAACACACTATACTGGTCACTAGTGTAATCACAACAGTTTATCACAACATTTTCCACAGAGACGAAGCTCAGCTTCAAACCACTTGCAATACAAAAAAGAAAATGAAAAAAAAATAGAAAAATTTGAAAAAACTAGATCTATCAAAACAGTTCATGCTAGTGTTGAAACAAAAACATGCCATGGCAAAATAACGTGAAATAAGCCTCGGCAGATAATGTACCCAGCGGAAAGAAAGCAGAAAATGCCTTAACCGAAACCCTTTAAGCCGAAAAAAATCAACAATACTTATGACTTCAGACTTATGAAAAGTTAATAAGTCCCCCAACACATAAAGACTCAAAAAATTTGATTGCTCGTCAAAGAAAACAATCTGAGGCTACTAAGCCGATATAATATAGACCGAACTTATTAAGCCCAAACAAAAGGAAAATGGAAAAAGTAAATTCAAAAAAAATTAAGACTAATAAGAAGTTATTAAGTCTCCATAACCCTCGAAACACAGACGGGCGCACAAGCTTTTTTCGCTCGTCGAGAGACGGAGACGCAAAATGAGGCCATTAAACCGATTTATTAAGCCGATAACTATCAAGCCGAAAAAAAGGAAAACAACAAAAGTCCAAAAAGTATTGTTGTCATCAAAAACTTGAACTATAATTTCCATTAAGATTTTTAGCATTTTGTGCGATCCCAAGATGAGCATTAAAATATGTTTCAGCTGAAGCGACTCGAAATCAGATCACTAAGCCGATAAAAATATGCCGAAATCATTCGGCAGAATGAAACCATTGGGCAGAAAAAAAAACAAATTATTCGAGAACAAGGTTAGTAAAATTACAAACAGCAGAGGTAAAACAGAACACTAAAAGCAAGAATAATGTTTTAAAAACTTATAAAAATCTACAATTCGGCAACTAAGCCGACAAAACACAAGCAGATAATAATACGTCTGCAAGTTAGTTTCGAAACGGACTATTTCCAGTTTGAAAAAAAAAACAGGTCCTGTGAGATTCGAACCCAGAACTTTTGCCGTTACCTCCAGACCAAGTGTGCACGAGACGCAAAGAAATTTGAACTAAATATGAGCTGAACCTAAATTTACCACTTCTAATTTTGACCATTATGTGAACAAATATATTTACGGGAAAAAATCGCAAGGGTAATGACAACAACTAAACTTAAAAGAATAGCACTAAACAGCAAAACTCAAACTTGAAAGTAAACAACTTGACTTTTGCTGAAAAAAAATCAGTCACAACCCTAACTTGGTTCAATGGCACTTTAGGTTTTATTGCCTTAAACTAACAATGACTTCGTTGTTTGTCAGTTTAATCTTTAGATCTTGCAAATGAGACAGGAATGTCATGCGTGAGTTTGTCAAGAAGGATTTTTAAAAAATGGGATTGGAAGCTGTTTTATCAGTTCAATCACAGCTCGTCGACTCCATCTGGCGATTATTTTCTTGTATCTGACTTTCTCGAAAACACACCTGGTTCAAAAGTTTTCCATCAATATTGTTGATCGGATAAAGAAAGCTAAACGATAAAACAGTGATAAAGAAATACGATGAGTTTCGTCGGTTATATCACACTGCGGCAATGTTTGTCTTCTTTTCAAGCTCAGTTACAGGCTGCTTTCTTTTCCTACAATTGAGTTGTTGTAAATAATGGTACCTGTGAATGAATCCCAACTCGTGCACGTATTGTATGGCCAGTATCATTTCCGCAGTGTAGAATCTGGCCATGGGTTCGGGGAAGTAGTCCTTCTTGATCAGCAGACTCATCAAGTCTCCCCCTGGGATGAACTCCATAAGGAGGTAGAGGTTGTGCTTGTCCTGGAAGGAGAGGAACAGCTTCACCACCCACTCGTTGTCCGCTTGTGCCAGAATGTCCCGCTCAGCTCGCACGTGACCAGCCTGAACACAAATTATTTCGATTTTAATTCATTCATCTAACATGTTGCAGAAGAAACTGATTCACGTATCATACATAAATGATAGAATATCAACATTCACTTTTAAACAACAGAAATGTCCTTACAATGCATTTTTATAGAAGTGAACTCTCGTGACAAACGCATGTTAAGAAGAGTGTGAATAGACCAATTGATAAGTTTGGCTTTATGGTAACAAATCACTCCTCTAAATCATTCAAAGAAGCAATCAGTGCAACAAGGAAACCAACTTATAACGCTCCTCACTGTCACAAGAGATATTCCGTTTTGGAATCTAGGAAAGTTTATGATTGAGTACGGCAGGCAATCGGCAGTCTTAAAGTGTCATTATTAGTTATCATGTAGACAATAGCCCATTTGATGTCCAATAGTCATACTAAGTCAGCTCAATTTGAAAAACTTTCAAGCTTGATTCTGAAAAGTCTTACATAATTATTGGCTAATGTCTTCATTTTCGCAGAATTTAGGCATGAAATTTTTCAAATAGTGACTCAACTGCCACTAAGTCGCTGAAACTCGTCGTTACCTTTTACTTCAGCAATACGTAATCAAAATTGGTCTCCTCTATTCCAATACTGTATATCCAACAACTCACCTGGTTCTTTTTGAGGATGTGTCTTTTGTTGAGGACCTTCATAGCGTAGAGCTGTGCGTCCTCGGCTGACCTGACAAGTTTCACCTCTCCAAATCCCCCCACTCCCAACTGGTCTATCTCGCGGAAGTCATCTATGGACACCTTACATCTTCTCCTTCTCAGGAGGTTGCTCTCGTGCTTGTGGAAACTTCCCAACATCTCGTCCTTATCTGAGGAGCCAATCTACAAAACAACACCAGCATAATTAATTTCTAACCACACAATGCAACTACTTTTTTACTAACCCGATACTGCCGCTCGCTAATAATCTGGGTTAATATAAACAACAACTGTGCAAACCGGTCTCATTTTAGAACAAAATTAATACATTCACTGATAGATGTCAATTCACGCTGGCGTCTCCTAAACGCAATTAATTACAGAAAGCTCTAAGAATTTTTTTGAGCAAGAATTTTATAATTAAGAACAAATTAAAGAGCAAATCGCAAGCGAAGGTTGATTTGGAGGTCGCGTAATCATTGCAACATTTAATATTATTTCATTGAATTTGTGATGTTCTTACCGATTCCTGTTCCACTTGGTGTCTTCTCTTCTCTCTCTGCAGCGGAAAACTCATCACACTTTCCATGTGCTGCTCCATGTAGAACTTGTATGCATTCGCACTCTGCTTCTTCACCTTCTTTTCCCCTCCCGCACTTGCTCCATCCCCATTTGATGACGTAAACATCACTTCTCTGCCCATACTCTCTTTTCTAGTTGGCGATGGCGAGGGATCCTGCAGTTCCTGATGATGTTGCTGTTGAGAGGAAGTGACTTTTGTTGATATGTCATGAATTTGCACATTATTGCTAGTCTCTTCGTTCATCATTGCCTCCTCGTCACTTCCATTTTTTGGGGTCATTCGGTCAAACGCGGCAAATGAGTTAACTGACAGAGAATTTTTCAGAGTTGAACTGAGTTCATCGCCTGATTTGACGCTGCCTCCTCCGCCACTCGACCCACCCGAACTTCTTTTAGAGGGACTATATCTCGACTGATCAATCGGAGGAGGGGCATTGCGATTTGGACGCTGTCTGTCAACTGTACCATTTGATGTCGCACCGGGCGGAGGGGGTGGTGCGTACGGTGGAGGTGCTTTCTTTGGGGGTATTGGCGGAGGCTGATGCGTGGGGAACTTAGCATTTTGTTGCACAGATTTGATATAAGTTGGCAGCTGTTTCTTCGAGGGCAGAACAGCAAAACCCCCAGGCGTGGATGACAAGTTGTGTACCTGGTGCATGTTGAGGAGTGGCGAGCCAATCCCCGCACTTGAGGGTGTCACTCCGTAACATTCACTTTGCGAGTCTAAAACACAATCACAACAACAAAAATTAGCTTCAAAAATGTGATACGTTGCAAATAAACAATTTGTAAGTATCAGGCAGGACGGTTTATAGAAAAGCTTTTCCAGTTAATTTGATAGTGCAATCATATTTCATCCAAATCCTTTCGTTTGCAGCCACATAAACGAACGCTCCTATCATTTCGCTTTATAGGAGATCTTCAACAAAACACTAAGTTAAAAAAAATAGCCAATTCTGTGCAAAGAGTACAGAATATTAGGACCACAGTTAACTTTAAAAAAATTTAAAACGAAAAAAACTATGTCTTTGTCTTTACTGTGCGGGTGATATGCTAGTGTTCATTTTAAAACAATTGAGTGTGCACGAACTAAATTTGAAAACTCTAATGCATAAAATAGTCGTTTCATTTTCAATCATATTTACATGCTACTACGATAGTTTTTGTACATATATTACTCTGACACATAAATGTTATTCAAAAAATAAAATTTTACACTTCTTTTGCCAAAAGTTTCGCTTTAAACTGAAATATAAACACAGCTCGAAGAAAAAGACAGAACCATCCAGTTATTTAAATTAATTCTGCCACCTGTTGTAATATATTTGAACGCCACAAACTTGAAAAACGCAACAAATTTGAACGAAAAACACTACGTTGAAACCATACCGAAAACTACAATAACTTCTAAAAGTTGTGCGCAGAAAATTTTCAGTCAAATGTTCCGGGAGAAATATGTTTACACAGGCGAAGGAAAGCTTCGCAATACATGCGATACAAAAACATTAGGATACAAAAGAGTCGATAGAAAAACCGAATTTTTTTTGGGAAACTCAAGTTGAAAAAATTACTTCAAATAAATAACAACTAGATCTACAACAATTGTCATGTATCGAGAAAACTGGTATGCATTTTTTTCGATTTTCCACTAGACAATTTTGAAAATTCATTTGAAACCCGAATCCACGCTGAAAGGGATTTCGCTTTAACATGATACTATAGTTGACATTCCGCGATGCCTCTATGAGGTAGCTAAAATCGTTGGAAACAACATAGCCACCAAACATTTGAAAAGAATCGATGAACGCAAAGAAAAAACCCGTGTTTTTCGGAAAGAACGATATTTCGAGTTGCATAGTAAACAATGTGTCTTTAAAACTCTTTTGAGTTTCAAAACAATTTATGATTGTTGCTTTCTTGATAAAATTAGCCCAACTTGAGAAAATTGGATCAATTGATAAACTTTTGATTCTGCTGAAAATCTAAATCCACTTCGGAATTAGAAACTGATCACGTTTTTCGTAACTTTTACACTTTTGCTGTTCGATTGCGGACCTTTCATCCTTTTAATCCATGAATTGAACTGAAATTACGAAATCGAAAGTCAAACCGCAAAAATCAAATTTGAGCGTCAACAAAATGTCTGGAAAAAAATCATCACGACCTATATAAGAGTCCTGACTACCTTCACCGACTCCTATAAACACTATAGCCATATCGCCATAGTTCCTACCCACTCCGTGAAATGGTCGGAACGAAACCTAAAACACGCAACCGAATACAAAATCATTTCAGTTTTGGTCCGAACAAAAACACATTGCACAGGGTTGGTTTCCCACATTAGACCAGCAAGTTAGAGCTGCTCTAAATACAAAGTCAGCCAAACAAGGGATAAATGAGAAACAAATACCAGAAAAGATACTGCTGGAGATCTCTGAACTTGCTGGAGACATAGGTCGCACATTTTCTTCAGTCAGAGCACAGTTAGCAGCGGTCCTGTAAAATTGTAAAATAATATCTTGGGTTATTCGAGACAGAAAATCACGATATTCAGGCAGACAATTAGCTTTTGCGTACCTGATAATAGGAGTTCGATGAATGTTCGAATTGTTCCCCATATTCTGTTGTTGCAGAGAACTCAGTTGCGACCTCGCTGAGCTATATTGATCAGACGCAGCACCTTAAACAAACCAAAATGAAGGTATTTGACATTGCTGCAAGCAATTTTTCTTCTGGTAAAATTCTATCGTCGAGCAAATAGAAAATTTGACTGCACCCTGACTTTCGCAATTTTTTTCTGACCACTTTTAAGTCAAATACAACTGAATGAAAACGAGCTACTTTTTTCCAATTTCGGAATCAGCAAGCTCTTGAAATTTAATTAACCTTTTTTTTGTTGCGATTTTTTTGCGGAGATTATGGTTATCATAAAATCAAGAAATTATTGAAATCAAATTTTTGATGATTTCGTAAGTGTAATAATTTGGAAAAAAAGGTCAATTGAGCGGGTCTTTCTGTCATGCGACGGTTAGAGTACAGTTTAATTAAAGGATAACGACATAGACAAATATTTTAAGATAATTCGTATTAAATTGTATCATATAAGAATCTAGGTGATTAACATTTGGGATCTACCCTCTTCGCTAAATTTACGTATCAAATTGTCTATATGATATTTGGGTTTTAACCTTTATTACACTCTTTAATATACAGAATTGCACTCTTCTGGAGTGCCAAAACTACTTAGGCTATAAAATGGATTGTAAAACAGTATAATTTGTTTGATTTTTTGCTCACTTTTTCAGCCAATTTCCGGATAATTTAAGTAGACTCTGCCGCAGCTCCTCTAGTCCACCAAAAAACTTAATGGAACAAAACTACTCTCACTGTCTCTATATCCAGAAAAACTTGCAGATTTAAAGCTTTGCTGAAGTCAAAAGGCGTCTGATATGGTTTTGACTTAGCGTGTGGGTTAAAAAGATTCGGCCTGAAACAGCCTCCCCAGAGACCATTAGCCACCAATCTCTTCGCGTCATCCTCAGAAGTAGTTTTCTGGCTAGAAAGCTTTGGTCTTAACGCAATTGAAAATTCGGATCTACCTTAACAGACTTTATCTCAGAGTGTAGCAAAGATAACAGGAGTTTCGATTTGTCTTGTTAGAAAAAATTGTCCACAAGGGGGGAAAGTATGTGGGGTATTTGGAGGTCCCCATCCTTATCTTCCTTGTAAACAGTTCGACGCTTTTTGTGTAAGGCTAGATTTATTTGAAAACTATTTTCTGTCAAGTTAGTTACCATTTCTTGCTTTTTAACAGAGAGCGTGATGTATCGTTTCTCAATTTTAGTAATTAAACTTAGATTGTTCTGTCTCAGCTACTTCTAGATTTTTACGTTTTAATGACTCATGTATGGCTCTTCAATACTAATTCTTATACAAGTGTGTGTGTGTGTGGAAAGATTCAGGTCTCCCATTTTTAATCATGGGGATATCACACTACAGGAGTTGTAAGCTGTTAGGTTTGTTTCGAGAGTTTTAATAACTAACTTAAAGCACAGCTCTACAATCGGTTTGCATAGATTAGATGTTAGGTTAAAATGAGTCAACACCCTTCATTCACGGGCTTCTAAGATCGAGGGACCAAGGGCCGTGTTTTTCCAGTCCTGGTTCATAATCACGTGCTCTGTAATCGTTTAAATAGATTTGTACCTTCGTACACTAACTGCCTCACCTACCCACAATTTCATCTGAACCCTCACTATGTTTTACCGTGCTGGCATCCTCTTCTTTTTTTTATGGAAATGACTTCTTCAGATTTTCCTTATAACGCTTTTTAATAGTTTTTTACGATATTCTGACGACATCGCCTTTCCTCTAATGGCCGAAAAATCACTGTTACGTCTGTAACAGCAGCCTGCGAGATGGAGTTTGAAGCAACACAAGTCAGGTATCATTCATGATACATGCAGCAGCCTAGCTCTTAGCGGTGGTTATTACAGCGGTTTAAATACTCTCGCTGCACGTCTCCAAGTTCCTTAGCCACAGACACTCAGCCAAACACAAACTCCCCCTATTGCAGCTTCACTCAACGATGATCAAACACCAGCCCAGAGCTGATGGAAAATACAGGGAAAACTTACAACGAAAAGTTCACAGGAAAACGGCCTTTCTGATCCTTGCAACAACCAAAGTAGGTTGAACTCTATAGAAACCCTCAGCAGATCTTAAAACAAGCTAATCGGAAGCAAAGAAAATGCATTTGCAAAGAATACTGCAATGATATTTCCACACCTGTTGCTATGTAAAACCAAGTCGAGAAGCCGATGAATTCGCTTCTAGAACTACGACTTCAACAGGGCAAAATGGATATCTGATTGATGTAAACATCGAGCTGAAATCAATGCAAATTCTGTTCAACAAGCTTGAGTACAGCTAATCTTGAGTACCATTGCACAACTGACAGATTCTTTCAAAGGAGTTCTGACACTTGAAGAGACTGTCAAAAGTCGAAAAAAACTCATAAGCGTCCCCCAGCCAAGCCA